GATTGCCAACAAAGGATATATAACAAAGTATTGAAAATTACATCATAACCGTATGATGAAAATTACAGGCCTCTCTCATCTTTTTAAGTGGGAGAACTTGCACAATTGGTGGCTGACTAAATACTTTTTTGCCCCACTGTATGAGACCATTTCTCTGAGTATGAAGTCAGAAAAAAAGCTGTATTTGAACCATTTTATATTGTTACAAAGTATATTTCCCTTCCATTTACTCTATGCTAATCATCACATTTTTTAATGTACTTGTGACAGAAGTACACCAAGGTATGAAATTCTAGTCAGATCAGAAACATGTTAGAATCTCTTTTCTTTTAAAAACTGCATAATTAAGTTTCTTGTAAAAGCTAATACTTCTTTATTTTTTTTCTGTAATACATAAGTAATATTGATCATATAAACAGCTGGTACTTAAATGGGAGTTCAGAATCTACACACACATTTATATTATTTTAGCAAATCTATAGTGAAAAATATTGCATTACCACATTTTAAAAATCTCAAAAAAAATCATTTTATTTGCAATTTTTGATGATCAAGTAAATGCTACTTGTCTCCATCGAAATCCAAAAGGACATTTTAATTATAGTTTAAATTAGTTTAAACATTTCAATTTTGTTTAGATTTCATTATGGACATAAGATAACAAACTTGAGAAATATTATTTTTGCAATACTATTCCCATAATTCATTCTGTTTAGGTATAAATTATTTCCTGTTGTCCTGATTCAACTCCACTGATGTATAAAAGACAGGATTTAGTTGATCTTAGAGTTACTTTTTTTAACTTACAAAATAATAGTGCCAAGTTTATCGTTGACCTGCAAATTGCTAACAAGTGAGATAATGAGCTCAATTAGTTACCCTGCCAGTTTATGCCCCTGGTATATATGCATTGTATTCATAATATTCAAAATAAATTAATTACCTGCATGTGTATTTGACATTCACATATGGCTTAAGATGAAGCTCCTTCTCTTCCCTTATTTTTACAGAGCTAAATACATTAAATGCATTAAAACACTGGCATTTTATAGTGACTCCCTTACTTTTAATATCCTTTTATTCTCTGTTTTATTTCACTTTTTATATTTTTAATGTATTTATTGACTGTTTTTAGTTTTGTTGTATGCTGCCCAGAGTTGCCTGTGGTGAGATGGGCGGCTATATAAATTGGTTTAATAAATAAAATAAATAACATAATAAATAAAACATGGTGCTGAGTATTAGGGATCCAAAGACTTTAAATCCAATGCGTTAAAAACTTACCATTAGCACACCAAATGACCACCAATCTGCACTCTGTGTATGACCTCGCCGATTAACTACTTCTGGGGCCATGTATTCTACTGTTCCACAAAAGGAGTATGCCTTTTTCTCATGATCAATAGATTCTTTGCTTAAGCCAAAATCTGGAAGGAAAGAAGTACAACATATTTAGTAATATTTCTAAGAGGGTTATTGATTCTTAGCATATATTTTGCAATCACTCTGTCTTTTTATCTGGCAAAAAGCAAGGTGTCTACAAATCATTCAGAGAAAGTAAATTTGTCCTTACATACCTGTTAATTTAATATGTCCTTCTTCATCAAGAAGTATGCTATAAATAAAATAAAGTTTTAAACTGGTTATATAAATTTTATTGACAACAATTAAAGACAGCTAAGGAATATTATTTATTTCTAGGCTACTCATAGTCAACTGTGATTGGAGTGGCCAATAAGCCCTCTAAAATAAACAAACAATAAATTTACTTATCAAATTTATAAATGAAGCTATGAGCGTCTGTTAGAGTTTGCAGTGTTGTGCTATAAATTCTTCCCCTTTTGTATGTCCATGTGATGTCACAACACATGTACAAAAGGGGAGGAGCTTACGACATGACACCTCCTTTGTCATTTTCCTCTCCCTCACTTCAATTCCATGGACACAGCTAGTTGAAGTCAATTTGAAACAACTGACTCTTACTTTTCTGGTTTTAGATCTCTGTATATTATTCCAAGACTATGCAGATGGTCTAAAGCAAGTGCTAATTCAGCCAAGTAAAATTTGACATCATCTTCTGTGAACATGACCTACAAATGAAAACAATATTTTTATAACTAAAGGAGTAAGAATGTTTTTCAAATTAAAATGTAACATATTAAATTAAAAGTTGCATACAGGTATTTAGATATGAGTTTATAAAAGCCACTGCCATAATTAAATAAGCATTAACACAAAGCATCTAAAATTTGTACTAACATACAATCATGATTAGCTGCTAAAAGTTATTTCAAAGTATATGTATGATCTGCCTATCATAAGAAAATAAAAACCAAGGAAATGCAGAAGAAATGCTATCTAAAATGATACATACAAAAATTAAGAAATTTGGAAAAAGTCCTATATATTTAAGCCCATTTTTAAAATGAAAGTTCTATTAAAAAGTTCTCAGTTATAATTATAATACAAACCTTGCTTACCTCTTTGGATAAGCGTGTAAACAAATCGCCTCCCCTGAGAAAGTCTAAAATAAGATATAGCTTCCCTTCTGTTTGAAAAGCTGAGGGAAAAGCAAACAATTGATTTCAGTAAAGTCAAGTCATACAATATCTCTAGCCATGGAGAGGGACTATTTAACTATTCATATTACACTCCATAGGACGCATCTAGATAGCCAAGCCACCGTCAGCATGCATCAACTTTAGTGCCTGCTGTTGACGTTTGTTAAGGCTGCTACTGCACTCCAGTAAGCAACTAACCACACCTACTGCTACCATCCTCTCAATCCTTCCCAAAAATTACCCAGCTGGAATATGCTGAACTTTTACTGTCTGCCTATGGGGCCTCACAGCCCCCAGTGCAGGGCTGTAAAAAGCGTCATGGCTGTTAGAACTGGCTTGGAGGGAAGCTGCTCCTTTGTCATATGAGGTACTCATATTACAAAATTGTTTTAACATGCTTTGCATTAACATTTCTTTGGAAGTATTAACATAAAATGGCTAAACTCCAGCACTTACCATGGGCTATGATTTTCAAGCAGTCCAATAAAATCAATGACCAATGTTCAAGTTCACTAACATTTTAAAGCCCTTGCCTGTTAACACTAAAACATTTATTGTAGATTTTCGTGTATCTGGAAGAGATGCTATGGAAGCTCTTTCTGATTAAAACATATCCAAGTTAAGTTGCTGGATCCCAGCAAGAATGTTTATAAGAGAGAAATGCTTCTATGAAACAAATTATATCTGGTGGAAAACATATATCTGGTTATTTAATATTGGCAAGGAGAAGTAAATGGGTTACTTCTTGTTATTCTTGTTCTTGGCAAGAATAGCAAGACTGCTCTACATTATGAGTTTATTTTGTTTCACAGTCTTATGACTTGATATAATTGTGCAGAACTGCAATGGCATACCAACATTTTGGAAACAGCAGAACATAATGTATCAATCTCGATGCAAATGTAAAATGCTGAGGCAAGACTTTGTCGCTATGCATCAGGTAGTATTAATAATACTTTTTTTTCGTCACATTGATCTGCATGGTTATTTTGTATGAATGTAATAATACTATGTTTTATCATGCTTGAAAAGCTAGAGAAAATGTTTCAGTGAGACTGTACAATAACATCAGGTGTTTCAGAATCTAAACTAAGCAATATTTATTTATTTTATGCCTTCGAGTCAGTTTTTGACTCCTGGCAACTGCCTGGACTAGTCCTTACAGTTTTCTTGGCAAGGTTTTTCAGAAATAATTTGTCATTGCCTCTTCCTAGGGCTGAGAAAGAGTGACTGGTCCAAGGTCACCCAGCTGGGATCGTGCCTAAGGTGGGACTGTAGCTCACGGTCTTCCAGTTTCTAGCCTGTACCCTTAACTGCTACACCAAACCAGCTCTAAACTAAGTTATATATTGCAACATAGTGGCAGTTTCATAAGCTCAGAGTTTGAAAGCTCTGCTTTCCCCTATCAGAAAGGAGGGTACCAGGTTTCTTGAACCAGGACTTGACAGTAAATCTATGCACCTCAACTTCACCAGATTAATTTGGCTGCTAGGCTCAGACTCGGCTAAAGTCCTTCAGACACATAACACAGCATGGCTAAATAAGAATATTTACTGAAATCAGTATGAAGTCACAATGAACAGCTGATTGCCCTGTCAGTGTGAGAGTACAGTTCCCTTTATACCCACAACCTTTTAAAACTGTTGCACCTTCCCACCTCTCCTGTGTTTTAATGGATTTTTTGCCTTGTATTTCATGGTCTTGGAGCCGAGTGGTTGCTGGTCACTGACCTAACTATGCCCCTGCCCTAAAAGTGCTGGCCCCTGGCTTATCTCGTACAGTGAAGGACAACACCCCTGCAAAAAGCCCTTCCACAACATGGCCTGTAGAGTAAGATGACAGCTTCTTAGCCCAGCTGCCTCCTAAATTGCAGTATGAGGTAAACTAGAGTTTTAAGGAAAACGAGCCATAATGAAAAAAACAAACTTTCTGAATGATTTGCTTAATTATTTATCTTAGAGATGAAAAGATAAGCAAAAATGCAAAATATCCATCTAAAATAAAGCTGGCAATAGTGAACATGGAAAGCAATCTCATCAAAGTCATAATAAAAGTATTTCATAACTGAGTGGCTTTTTAAGTTATATTTCTGAAAGCTCAGTCCTGGCTACCTATCAGTGAAGTTCCACCCATGAAACCCTCCTGTCAGAAGAAAAAGGAGAAGAGACATTTTCCCCTTACAATCCTTGCACAACCTGAAAAGAACTGGCAGTCCTTTCAGAGAAACATGGAAGGCAATATTTCAGTTATACAGAGAAGAAGGAATTGTATTCTTCATTTCATTAATCCCCTCATGACCTTTTTAAAGTGCCTTTCAGGAAGAATAAGGAACTTTATATTAGAAAAAGTAAACAACAGAAGTTCGCATAGTATTAACAGCCTAAGCAGTTCTTCAGGTAAGAAGTTGCTATAATAGTATTGAAATATTCAAAAATTCTACAAAAATCACAGTCTGAGGAAGATAAGCCAGTATGAATGTGTAGGTTGCAAATTCTCACCTTCACAGCCAGCCAATCATATGTCAGACAAGCTCAAGCAGTCCATATGTACGGGTGAGGCACGGCTCTTGGGCACATCTAATTACCCAGGCCCTTCCACTGCTAGATAGAGATTTTGGAATCTATTTATTTGACTGATTGACTGATTGTTTAAAGTCAATCAGTTTGTTGATTGTTAGGCAGGATCAGTATTTTTTATTAAGATGACACATTTTGAAGTATTATAGATATAGATTATATAGACATGACCTTGGGGAAGGTACGAAAGAGCTATTAAGGAGGGACTTGGCAGGAGATTACACAGTCCAAAGACTGAAGGAAGCATGAGAAAGAAACTTAAGATAACCCCACCTTGATTTTGTTTAGTATAACATGAGACTGAAAGAAACTTGGACAGGGTTTCAAGATTCTGTTATTATAACCTACAACAATAAAGTAGCATCCTTGGAATCTCAGCAGTGTCTGTTTTTTCACCTGGCCTACCTCAAAGGGCTGACACAAATATTCTAACCACAATGTATTGATTTGCAAAATTTATTAAACTTACCATAATGTAACTTGACAATAAAGGGATGGTTAACTTCTACTAAGATGTCACGTTCCATTTTTGTCCGAACACGATCACGAACTATAAAACATTTAGTTCAAATTAATAGCTACTAAGTGAATTTGGACTTTTTGTTTTGGTATATCTAGATATACCAGCCTAAATGTTTTCCAGAATCAATCAAATGTAAAAATGTAGTAAATGCGGTAGTGCAACAATTACTATTAGCTAGCCAATTAATACTACTTGATAATTAAAACAGACAAGTCTGCTGATGCCAACCAGTATTTCAGATAGCTAGTGGACAGACAAGCTGTGGCATAGGCAGAAGTATTATTATTATTATGGTTGATCGCACAGTCAGCCAGATGATTAGACTGGATTTGGCATTTTTATGGCATTTTAAGTCCTTCCCAAGGACCTGGGATGATGATGATGATGATGATATTATTATTAGTACTAGTGGTATTTCAGGATTCTTCTTCAAGAAGACCAGCCATCACTAATCTAGTCTAACCTCTCCACAGAAACACTTAATTACAGACCCAGAAAGATCAGAGAAATACTAATTTTATTATATTTCTACCCCACTGCAATCAAATGCTCTCAGCAGCTTATATGTAAAATACATTATTAAACAACTGAATATTTGGCATAGTAGCACCATGACAACAACCAACCTTAACTTCTTACTAAATATATGCAACGTCAGGTTGCTAAATAGTTACACAGAGAATACCAAAAAACAAAACAAAAACAAAAAACTATACACAAAAAGTCAAGAGTCATACACAAAGAAAAAGATCATGTACATTTGTAGTATTCATAAATTCAGCTGGGGCACATTCTTACAACATGCTAGGCAGTAAACTTGTTTTAAATAACGATCTTTTGAGCAAGCCAATAAAGCTAAGCTTTAGTCTTAGAGAGAAATAATTATGGCTCACATGAACAATTCTTGATTTGTTTTTCCTTTATTTTAGTTGTTCTTTCCCGATGCCTAACTAAGTTATCCAGACATAAGAACTGTTCATGAGAAAATGATAAAGTTTTAGATGTTAAAGACAAACCTACAATCAAGATGATAAAGACTATAACACTATCTATAAATTTTGTTATACAGATTCTTACTAGAACACTAGAATATATGTTACAAATGGGTTTGTATTATACTAAGAAGAAGTGACACATTACAGACACACCATTCACAAAAATGAATTTTCTCAATAACTTTTAAAAAAAGCTTAAATCACCAGCACTCACATAAGAGTTTATGAATATTGAAAATTACATCCTCCATTTCAAATTTAAGTCCCTTAAATATATGAATTTTTAAAGGGGGCTAAAACTCTTCTCATAGTATATAAATATTATGCAGCAAAATCAGAAAAAAAAATCATAGGGCTGGAAGAGACTTGGAGGTCTTCTAGTTCAACCCCCTGCTCGAGGTGGGAGTCCTTATACCATCTCGGACAAATGGTTGTCCAATCTTGGTTGTCCAAACCAAAGAAATTGCTTTGAAATCTCAAACTGTTCATACCACAAGAACTAAAAAGTCAGATTTACCAAGAAAAACTGATTTTTAATCATTTTTAATTCTACTAAATTCTTAGACCACTTTTAACCTTATTTTTTAACAATAAAAGCCACAATCTGTCTGCGGTGTATTATTCTTATTTCAAAGCCACTAGTCGCTTGCTACAAAAATATTCCTGACTATTATTTCTTTAAAGTTATCTATAGGTTGCATAATTTACCTTTCAATGTTGCTTTTTTTAGCACTTTCATTGCATACAGCTGTTTGGCATCAGATCCTGAGATTTTTTTGACAAGGAATACCTGTATCAAAAACAAGTAAAGCTTTTTTAATGGCAAACAAACGATTTTATTATAATAAATTAGGTGAATTGGCCAATATAAAAAATAGGACTCTGCAGCGCTTTCAAAAAGCGTGCTTTACAGTGCATGGGAGCATCTACAAAGTACCCCTTTCTGAATTGTTATAGTAATGCCAGTCTTCTTCCGGCATCAAAAGCTGCTCCTAGCTGTCTACACATGCGTATGCATGCATACCTATTACATTTCAGTGGGAAAAATGCTAAGTGATGTGGTTGTGCATGTACACCACTTGCAAAGATAGTTGGGAACAGATTCCAAAGCAGCTGCATCAACCTGCAGAAAGCAGCCCTTTTAACAGTTTGGTAAGATGTGTTTTGTCTACTTTGTACACTATCCTGTGGGTTGTAAAACCACCCTTTCAAAGGGTTTGTAAAGGCCTAATAAATATTTCACACATGCAAAATGCAGTAGTATCAATTTCAACTCTGTACCATGGAGGGGAGTAGAATATGAAAAAGCCTCTGACTCAAGTAAGAGGAGTACGGCTGGTTAGGACATACCAAACAGTATTATTAAAATGTAAAATTCTCCAAATATTTTATATGCTTCTGGTCTAAAACAAGGTGCTGCCTGTTACTCAATGTTAGGCTACTTAGCACTTTGGATTAGATTCTGAAAAGGAACCTTTGAAAGACATAGGAACACAAAAGTAGCCTTGTCTATGACTCTTAAAGCAGTGGTATCCACTTCCATGATCATATGGCAGCTGGATCTTGGGAAAAGATGTGGCTGCTTTGAGGACCTGCAGACAGATGCTATATTCATGCTCCTATATGCGTCAAAGCATTCTGAATAGAATCCAAAGTACTGCAGTTTTATTAATGATACAAGTTTTATGTTAATTTAACCATTAAAATGGAAAATTGTGAGGAAATTAAATTTATACTGTACATCATCCGTAATTTGCCAACAATCATTCTTATATATTCAAATCTGAGCTTGGGCAGCAAACTAGAAGACAATTAAGGAACTTGAAGAAAAGATTTGGTTGATGGAATTTAAGAACTAGGTATTTGTTTAGGGAATTCTGATTAGTACAGGCTGAGGCAAATACTGTGGTACCTTCTACAGATCAAAATTTCTCTCTTACCTTTCCAAAAGATCCCTGGCCTAGTACTTTAAGGAGTTCAAATTGTGAAGGATCTGCCTTTTCATGTCCTTCTTTGACGTGATATGTTATTGCAATCTCTTTAATATTGCCTTCTTCCTAGAAAATAAAATAAAAATAAATAGTTCAATTTAATGAGTGGAGCTCATGTCATTTTTTAAAATAATTTTTATTAAGAGATTTTATACAATAGTAAAAAGAAACATACAATATAAATAGAAAGAAAGAAAGAAAGAAAGAAAGAAAGAAAGAAAGAAAGAAAGAAAGAAAGAAAGGTGGATAAGTAAAAAAAAGTAAATAGAGGAAAGAAAAGAATAAAGAAAATATATAAAGGATCAGATTCCGACCTTTACAGCAGTTACAGATGAATTTATTGTCAATCCTCCCTCTTTAAGGTTATGTCATAATCCCCTTCTCCTCAAATTTTCCCCTTCTAATTATCAAATCCATAAGTCACCAGTTCATTTTTTTTCCATTTTCAGCAAAAAGTCCATAAAGGGTTTCCAGTCACTAATAAATGTACTTGTCTTCTCCCTAATCAAACAAGTCATTTTGCCATTGAGTGGAGTTCATTTCAGAACATTTTTTTAAAACGATACATGTAATGAAAGGAAAATGAATAAGACAAAAACGGGTTTCATTGAATATAATTCAAAAAGGAAAAACAGACAAGTAGTATGATTGATATTGCACTATGAAACACATAACATATGACAGTAAAAAGAATTGCAACAAAATACAGGCAAGGCTACGTAATTGCGAACCTTTCCAATTTAAATTAGTTAAAAAGGGAAAATAGACATCTGGTATTATTAACAGCATAACAGAAATATTTAGATCATTATTTCATGCTACTTCTCAAATGTTTTTTAAACACTTTGTAATGCCAGCGGTTCAAGAAGTTCCTCAATAATATATGGCTGAGTTTTTTAAGCCTAGTTCATACCTTATGTATTAAATGGGTAAAGCAGAAGCAAAACTGCTTCACTTCCACTTTTGGTCCTGTAGAAGAAGAGGGATGTTTGGATGTCATAGCACGAAATTTCAGAAATTCCCATTATGAACATGAGAAATGAAAAGTACTGACTTGGATTACTCCTTTCCCTTCTAAATTTAGCACAAAGTCATTGGAGTTTCATGTACTAAAGATGAAGAGTTTCTAGATTACTCTAAGTTCCTGCCAAACTGCCTCAAAGCACTGCTATTTGTGCTAATACAAAATATGTAATTAATGCAAACCCACAAATCAAAGAAATGTGTTCATGTCTCCCTTTATTTAAACTTTTATTCACTAAAAGTGGTCATGTTTGCACCTAGCCAGTCCTCCAAGATCAAACAGGGCAACATATATACAAAATGTTAATTTCATAATCTTTTGAAAATAAGATTTGGCTGAGCCAGATCATGGCTCTCCATCTCCTTCTCCAAAGACAAAATTGATGCTTGGGAGTTAAACTGGCTGGATATTGCCCCTCTTCAAAATCCAGCTTTCCATTCCTGATTTAAGTAAATTGATTAGTAGCATATTTAGAAGAAAAGATAATTTATTTAAGTCGCTATAAAGAAACTAGATTAAATCATAGAAAGTATCAGTATGAATTAATTGTAATAGCTTAACACTGATACATTAGTTACTGAAACACATAGCAGGCCTTGCCAGAAACATCCTGATGACTATGAGAGTTAACCTTACACACATCCACATATACTGCGCTCTTCACCAGATTCGACTGAATGAGTTTTCTGGACTTTTCCCTCCTAAATATTAAGCAAAAGCTTTTGTCAGACTTAACACATCTATTTTACTTTAAACACCCAGCTCCTAACAAAAGGGTTACAAAACCTCATCCCTACCCATTAGACGAAATCATTACGCCTCTACAACTTTTCTGATTCTTGGAGATTTTTTTATTCCTAAAAAAGAGGCTCCATAAAGATCACCCAATCCTATAGTACCAAATGGTGTGATAAAACAGACTTTTTCTTGAGCTTTTCATATAAAAGCCTCCCATTACCACATCCTATTTTGCTACTGGATATTTTGCTATTAAATTTAAACAGAATTCCTTCTACTGTTATGTTCTGTTACATTTAGATACGTCAGATAAATGAGTCAAAACACATTATTACATCCACATATTACATCACAATTTGGATCCAGTTTGGTCACCGTTGCTGCCTAAATAAAAGAATGAGGATACTGAATGGACAAGAATGTAGAAGATCAAACAGGGATGCCAAAGGAAGTATAACTATGAGAAGTGTAACTCTAGAGACAAAGTATGAAGTGTTCTGTCACAAATAGCCTAGTCATAGCTGTGAAATTTCTCATCCCTTTAGCAAGCCGTTAAGAATTCAGATATGTTGTCTTCTTGAATCTGTGAAATGATAAATTCAACACAGATGTAAATGGATTTTCTGGTTCTTTTCCATCCCACAGTGTTATATTAAAATGTTCTTGGCATATTACATTAAAGTTGGTTTAGAGTCTAAAGAGTTTTAATTTCTTTAAGTAATATTAAAGCACAGACTTCACTAAATAACCAACACAGAGATTTTTATCACTTTATGGAACATCTTAAATGATTTGGGAAATTCTAGTTTAATGCTGCACTAACTTGTTAAAAAATCTGGGAAAAATAATAGATTTTTTAAATCCAAATATTCAACATTATTGAAAAGCACCTTACTAAATATAATTTAAAATATTGCTAGCTTTACCAGATTATGTCACAAAAAGCATATTTTTATTTTAAAACATTTGTACTCAGCTTTGTAAAAGGTCAAATAAGCTTCAAGAATAACAAATATCAGCATGTTTGATATTGAACAAGAATCCTTGAAAATTCACTTTATAGAAAAGCTAAGTAGACTGCAGGGTGACACCTTTGTTGTTAACTAAAATTTGGAGATTCACAAACTAGTCAGATGCAAAAAAGGTTTTGACTTGGATGGCAATGAGGCACATGCAGGCAGCAAAGTACCTGCCACACCGCAATAATTATCTATGGAATTCCATTTTTCTTAATCTTAAAAAGGATTAAATAGCCAAAACTTTGTGACATATGGGATATGTGATTGGCTGACATCTTGCAAAGCATCAGCTATTTTCATTTTTTGGGGGGGGGCAACTATGTCATTGTACCTGACGCAGCAATGGAAACTCAGTCTATTAAAGATAAAACACAGTATTAAAGATGCTTCTGACTATATCCTTATACCAACAATTTGTAAATTCATACTAGATCACCTATATTATTTCCTGTTTTTTTTATTTAATGTATTTTTACAACCTTTTTTGGGGAGAGGTTCACAGTATTTTTTATAGACAAAGGGTATTGTTAAGATGAATATTAGTTATCTAGAAGAACTTTGAAATATATGTTTGAACCCTATATTAAAAAAATTAGGGATTCAGGCTCTTGAAGAATATTAAATATATTTTAATGCTTTTAAAATGATAATTCAACAAAAGATTTTTTCATGTTTATTGGCCATCTAAGAGAAGGTTTTAAAAGGTTTGGTGTTGATTATATTATGCTGAAAGTGTAAAATAATGGATCAGATACTTAAGCATATGATGTGGGCTTATCCTACTATCATCTTCTTTGGGTTTAATATCCATAAAATTGTTAATACAGGTTTGGAAAGAGTAATATGATTCAAATATGTGAATGTGATTCTGAATTATACACCAGCAACTTGGAACCTACCATTATATGATTATATTCAACCAGTGGATGGATACTGGATCCATCCCATATCTACCATAAGTTACCTATCAAAACAGTTTGACTATCCTTTCCTGAGTGAAAGCCAGACTGAAATGAATAAATAGTACTTCAGCATCCTAAGCTGAATATGCCAAAATAGCCTGATTTTGAATTAGATAGAAATTTAAGGTCAGTTTATGTGAGCGAATGCGAGAAAGTGGAGGATGAGCCTTTTGACGCTTTATCTCACAGGAGGCAACTCAATCCAGATGTGAAGACATGGAAAAAAGCATTTCAATTAATTGAATTCACTATAACTGAGTCTGGGAATTTACCATTAATAGTTTAAAAATTTACCATTAATAGTTTAAAAATTCTATATTTACCCCAGAGTAGCATTAAAGATATCTTCCTGAAATCTGTGTTATTCTTGCTTCCAGCTATGGTCTATATCAAATTACTATTTGAGGAAAATGGTAGGATTTCTTCACCAGAACCACAGAGGTATGAGAACTGACTGAATTAGCATTCAGCATAACTGAAAGCAGCTAGTTAGCTAAAGGGAAACATGTAGTATCCAGTACTTCATTATTGTTGTTCCCCACACGAAACGTCTTGTTCCCTACTGTTAGCATATGCCCTATGGAAAATTATAGTGTCTAGTTCAATTTCAGGGAGTTTCAGATGGACCAAAATGTTTAGCATGGTTTCAATTCCATACTTCTTCACATTTGAGAAAGCTTATCAGAAACAGCAGACATTTGAGTATAGTTCATGCTAATAATTAAGATTATTTTGTTTCTGTAGACTGCTTATGGACAAGAATTCCTATCTGGAATTTAATAAAATCTGAGGCAGCTAGAGAAAAAGCCAAATCAATTCTTTCATTATTAAAAAATCTAACCTCATACAAATAAGTTCAGAAAATTATCAAAATTAGGTTTTAAAGCTTACTAACTTCATTAATTACTTATACTAAAAAGGTGCCATAAAATTTTATGCATGAAGTAGTCATGCATAACTAAACATCAGTTTTATACATGTTCACAAAGTTATTAAAAGTTACAGGACACTATCAATTTTAAGCAACAAGCTATTGTCAGATCACTGTGTAAAAGGTAATGACATATAGCCAGAAGCGTGGTTAAGGAAGTATGATATTTAACTTTTCTTAATAAGCCATCAGGAAAGACAAAGACCTTAAGCCCTTACTGCTATAATGTTCCAGTAGTTTAACATTTCCTATTAGAACATCATCTATTTTTATGCAAAGCAACAGCAAATAAAAAGGGAAAGAGCTACAGTCAGTGTAATGGAAACAGACTAGGGCTGATTTGGAGAGTGTATGAGAAACTAATGTGAAATTTGTCACACTAATGGATGCTT